CCCTTTTTGTCTTGGTTATTTTGAGACTGAATCTTGTATTTATTCTTGAGCTGTCCTGGACCATGATCCTTCCCAAACAGCTAGAATGATAAGCACATAAGACTATCCCAGCTTTTATTGCTTAACATGGAGATTCTCAAACTTTTTGTCCATGGTAAAGTGCCAGTGACAAGGGAAAAAGTTGAGTGAGAGCACAGGCTCTGAATTCAAGTCTCAGTACTGACAACACACACACACACACACACACACACACACATACAATTTGTGCATACTCAATACAGATACAAGATACAATTATTTTTCCTGAACAATTTCCATCTATGGACTGTTGAATTTTGGTCATGAAACCCATGAATATACAAAGACACAACAGTCATCTAAAAGAAAAAAGAAAAGGATAAAAGAACCAATTATCCAAAATCATATGTAAAGTGTATAGCATGTTTTTGACATGAAACCTGCTCATATGGACAAATATTACATTGGATCCGTGTGTGTGTCTGTGTGTGCGCGCGCGCGCACGCGTGCGCGCGCGCATGCACGGGTTTTTGCTTAAGGCTAGGGCTTTACCGCTTGGGACACAGTTCCACTTCTGACTTTTTTTGGTAGTTTAGTAGACCTTAGAGTCTCACAGACTTTCTTGCCCAGGATGGCTTCAAAATGTGATCCTCTGATCTCAGCCTTCTGAGTAACTAGGATTACAGGTGTAAGCCACTGGTGCCTGGCTTAGAATTCTTACTTTTAACTTGAGTTCATATTAATCTTTAATATGTTTGTGTTTTAGGTAATGTGTTTTCTTATTTTTCAGACAAAGAGAAACTGGAGGAATCTTCTGTGGTAAAAACACAAAACTTCAGCTGGGTGCCTGGTGGCTCATGCCTATAATCCTAGCTACTCAGGAGGCTGAGATCTGAGTATCATGGTTCAAAGCCATCCCGGGCAAGAAAGGCCATGAGACACTTATCTCCAATAACTCACTCAGAAAACCGGAAGTGTCACTGTGGCTCAAGTGATGGAGTGCTTGCCTTGAGCTGAAAAGCTGAGGGACAGTGCCCAGGCCCAGAGTTTAAGCCCCACGACCAAAAAACAAACACAAAACAAAAACAAAAACAAAAAAAAAACTTCTCATTTAGGACACTGAAAGAAAAAGCAAAAGCAGAGCATACATGTAACTAAGGCAGTTATGTTCTTTCATCTAATAGCTGTTCTACGACACAAAATTCTTAGTATCCTACCTTCCAAGCTAAAACATTCCTTCTTAAAAGTATTTGATAGTCCAGGCAGTGCAGGTGTAGTTCATTTTTACATAAAAAGGACCCAAGTTTTCCAAATGATACCCACTTGAAAATACTTACCTTTCTTTTTCTTTGTATGGTTCTACATACAGCTAAATATTGTAAGTCAGAAAACAAGAATATTGAAGTTTAGGTTTGAAGGATTTTTCTAACCATAGTCAGCTAACTTATGGCAAAGTCATAGTGCTTAATTTTTTTAGTCTGGAAGATAAAAAGTGTTCTGAGACAAAATTAAAAAGTATTTAAATAAATGGTGTATTAGAAGTTTCCATAAATATTTTATGACAAAAGTTCTTTACGTGAACATTCATGAACAATTCCAGGGAGATGAATTGCACAGAAACATTTTGCTAACTAATAAAATAGATTAACATTAGCTACAACCAGTTACTAAACCACATACATTGCTCACGCTAACTTTCTTCTGTAAATAATTGATACAATGATGAATTAAGCCTTTCTCAGGTACAATGAAGTCTGGTGATTGAGCATTCCTATTTTATGGAAGCACACATAAGATTTCTTGTACCAGTCCTGGGGCTTGAACTTGGGGCCTGGGTACTGTCCTTGGGCTCTTTATGCTCAAGGCTAGTGCTCTACCACTTGAGCTACAGCTCCACTTCCAGCTTTTCTTGTGCTTAATTAGACATGAGTGTGTTATTAACTCTGCCCAGGATGGCTTCAAAGTGTGAACCTCAGATCTCAGCCTCCTGAGTGGGTAGGATTACAGGTATGAGCCACTGGCACGCACAGGATTTTTTTTAAAGAATGACAAATCTAACTACATAAAATTAATGCTTGACATAATTTGTGCTTGAATTATAAGACAAAATATATTTAATAAAGTGTTGAATGGAGTAGAGTGCTTGCCTTGAGCTGAAGAGCGCAGGGACAGTGCCCAAGCCCAGAGTTCAAGCCCCACGACCGCCAAAAAAAAAAAGTGTTGAATGGAGAGAACTTAAATATATTTAGCATTTATTTAATATACTCATATTTACCAAATTTCTTAAATGGAAAAAGTATCTTAGTATACTTATGGTTTGGTCAGGACATATAAATTGATGCTAGCAATATGATTCATGGTGGACACCTGTGTTTGTTTATCTAAGGCTTTGGACTAAGCTGTATTCATTCCAGCTGGGGAGAGGGGTGAAGGGGAGTAAGGCTGGAAACTAAGTAGCTAAGGTCAGTCACTTGAGAGCACTGTGCCTAAGGAACTGACCCACAATGTAATTACTGAACACCAAGGCTTAGGTGAGCTTGCTTGGGTGGTAACATTTGCCCATAATTACCGAGAGAACTAAGTCCTTTCTATATAATTCTACTAGAAAAGGATATCTGCAAACTCATATGAGGCCCTGTGAATCTTTTTTCCTTTGCTGACATTTTTTTTTCCCTTTGGCAGTCCTGGGGCTTGAACTCAGGGACTGGGCACTGTCCCTGAGCTTCTTTTTTGCTCAAGGCAAGTACTATACCACTTGAGACACAGTAATACTTCCGACGTTTTCTGTTTATGTGGTACTGAACCTAGAGCTTCATGCATGCTCAGCAAGCACTCTACCACTAAGCCACATTCCCAACCCATACTTTGCTGATTTTAATCTGCAATCTTTTTGCTGCAATAAAATATAAATGAGAATAATGGCTTTTGAGTCCTTTTAGTGATCAAACCTGTGTGTGGTCTTGGAATTCCTGATACAACCTACAATATAATAAAATTCATACTTAATAAGGAATATTTCTTCTAACTTAAAAGTTTTGTTTTAGCAATTTCTTTTCGAAAGAGATTGAAACAGTAACACATGCTGATAGATTACTTTCAAGTACATGGATTTTTATTTCACAATTAAGATTACAGAAGGTAGCTTTTGGCTGGGTATAGGAAGGCATTTCTGCTAAGTTAAGTAAATGCTACCCACTCCCATCAGCACTTTCCTTCCTCCAGCAAGGATCCAGGCAAGTATTATATACTATTAATAATTAGTCTTCTCCTCAGTGGCTACCACTATAAGTTGAGGAAAAACAGAACTTTTTCACTTTCTTAATTCTTTTTCTCTTAGCTCCTTAGGTAAATTTTGTACTTTTTGATTTACTTATTTATTTATTTAGATAGACTGTCACAAGGTAGCACTGACTGGGCACAAACTCATGATCCTTTTGTATTCACCTCCCAAATTCTGAGATTTTACAAGTGTGCCTGGCCAAATTTTGTACTTTCTGAATAATGGTCATATCAGAAAGATTTGGCATGACCCAAAATATCAGATAGTCTTATCAGACAAGAGCTGGTCAAGTTGACAGTCCTTTCTTTGCAACATGCAAGGTTGGGCCCTTACAGGTGTACTGTGTAAAAAGATTAAATCCATAAAGGACTAGTGGACTAAAATATCACTAAGGATTATAGCACTTAAGAGATCAGGTTTATCTAACCAAAGCTTCCCAGCTGTGTGGATCAGTAACCTACCTTATAAGGTTTCCCAATTCCCTAACCAGCTAAAGCTATTTGTTCTCTTCCTCTCTGGGAAGGTTTTAATTGTTACCAGTTTCTAAGGAAATTATAAAATATAATTGTCCAGAATGGAATTATCTAACACCTGTGTAAGAATGAAAATTTCCTTTATTTCACTGCTGAATCAGAAAAAAGAATCTATTATACGAATTACCATTTGTAGTAATAGACCTAAAGTATTAATAAAAGGCTCCAGGCTGAAGAAATGGCATGATCATGAACTTGCTTATCAAACAAAATGATTTAGGATTCCCTATCTTCCACTTAAGGCTTTAACTGCAGAATGGAAGCTGGTGACACTTTGCTTAGGAATACCATTGCATTTTGGATTAGCTTGAATTGTTTTTTAGGCAATTAAGAAATCCCCCCTTTTTTCCATACAGCTCCAGAAGCTAGTTACTATGCATTATTTGCAGTTCATTATTATTCATGATACCTATCACACTATTTTAAGACAAGAATAGTAAAAACAGGAGAATGTTTGAGGATCTATCATATAAGTAGGTGTCCAAAACAAGAAACTACATAGTCCAACTGTCTAGAATTGAATTTTAGTCCAAAATACATCCTAGCTCAGTGATCTTGTCAAGTTTCTTACCTTTTGTTCCTTTTCTATACAATAAGAACAACAGCACCCTTCCAGGAGGGTTGTTATAAGGACCAAACAAACTCCTTTGTGTACAGAATTCAGAGTCATCTGGCATGCACAAAAGCTATATAAATAATATCTATTATCACCACCATCATCATTATTACCACCATTATTCCATGGCAAATGACAGCCTACTAATTATTACGAGAGGTCATTTAACTTATTTTATCTCTTTAATTTTCACCATACCCCAAGTGTTATAGGGAAAGGCAGTATGTTTCTTAGTTGACAGGCAATTATGACTTCATTAGGTTCTGCTACAACATGGCTGTATGGTTTGATTTACAAAATGGGATAGTAGTATTTATCCTACAAGGTTATTGTTCAGATGTCAACAGCTGTTCTGTAGACTTATCACAGGACATGTTGATAATACTGAACTCTGCTAGATATTTGGAATTTCAAAATTACCTGGTTTCAAGTACTCAACAACTTCTGCAAAGATGAGATTTAATATAGTTCAAGGTATGAATCCCCAAAAAGGTTCTAGAAGAACAAATTAACTTAAAAAATGGTCTTCTTCCACATTCCCTGGTTAGGATACATTTCTTCAAAATAGTCAATGTGTGGAGGCTGGAGTATGTCAAGGGCAGAGAGTACCTGAGGAAAGGGAAAAAAATCAAATTTAGAGGAAAAGGAAATAAATTCCACATAAATTCAAGTAAATGCTGTTAACTCTTTAATGATTAAAAGCTTAGTTACAATTGCCCAATGAAATTAAGTGAATCAGTCAAGAACCATAGTCTCATTGAGTTTGTAAACAATTGCCTAAAAAACAATTCAAGCTAATCCAAAATGCAAGAGGCAACTATGCTATACTATATGCAACCAAAATCCTTGCTCAGAGAGTATTGAAAGAAATGCCCTATTTTTTTTTTTATTTTATTTTTTCAGTCATGGGGCTTGAACTCTGGACCTGGGCCCTGTCCCTCAGCTCTTCAGCTCAAGGCTAGCACTCTACCATTTGAGCCATAGAGCCACTTCCGGTTTTCTGGTGGTTAATTGGAGATAAGAGTCTCATGGACTTTCCTGCCCGGGCTGGCTTTGAACCACGATCCTCAGATCTCAGACTCCTGAGTAGCTAGGATTAAAGGTGTAAGCCACTGGCGCCTAGCTGAAGTGTCCTATTTTTAGGAATTACTGTTGCTTTATGAGAATGAGGGGCATGGGTATACACATTCTTCTGATGGGCTCACTGGTAAACTCTTGAATTATACTGATGAGCAAAACAGGTATCATCCCTGTTTGCATGACTTAAAAGAGAGGAAAACATGAAGTAAATAAGTTATTACACAAATATATAATTACAACATCTATTACGATGAAGAAAAATGTATGCCTAAATGTATGCCTAACAACATTTGAAGACTTAAAAGCTGGGGGGGGAGGGCGGAATTTGGAGAGGTGGGGAGGAAGGGATGGTAGGGAAAAACAAAGGAGAGGGTAACAATATTCTAAAGGAAATGTACTAGTTACCTTACTCATGTAACTGTAACCCCCCCTGTACAGTATTTTTACTAGGTAAGAGTTGGCCACTCAATATGCAGGCAGGCAATGTGAAAATGCTGAGGCTGCTTACAGAAACAGAAAAATGCTTATGGAATATAGTGGGTAAGAAGAAGATAGACTGGTATAAAGTAGAGGAAGATAGGAAATATACAAAGTATCGTTAAATCATATGAGGCAGTATAGGTTTTATTCAAGTTCAGAGAAGTCACCAGGTATCTCAAATTTAAATCTCATTTCAATTTTTTTTTTTTTTAAAAAAAAGCAGCATAAATCCATAACAGCTATTAGGCTATAAGTCCTATTTGTGGTGTCACACCTGAGAATCTGAACCTATCTGGCTAATGAGAAATGTCTGGCTCAAAGGACGGAGAAGAGGCCAGCAGGAAATCAGGTTCAAATTTTCTAACTTTTATCTTGATTTTTAATGTAACATCTTGTTAAGGTTTGAACCATATACAAGTAGACAGTGTAAGATGAAGAATGCCCATATATTGCTGGGTATGGAAAGACTGAGTAAGAGGAAGATGCCTGATGCCAGCGTAAAACTGCTGGTTGTGTGATTGCCTTCCTTGTATCTGGTTCTGAGTGTTTGACTTTCTGCAGTAATCTTCAGGATGAGGGCTGGGAAGGTGGCTCAGTGGTAGAGTGCTTGCCTTGCATGCATGAGGCCCTGGGTTCGATTCCTCAGCACCACATAAGCAGAAAAAGCTGGAAGTGGTGCTGTGGCTGAAGTGGTAGAGCACTAGCCTTGAGTTGAAGAGCTAAGGGATAGTGCCCAGTCCCAGAGTTCAGGCACCATGACTGGCAAAAAAAAAAGCCGGAAGTGGCGCTGTGGCTCAAGGAGTAGAGTGCTAGCCTTGAGCTGAAGAGCTGAGGGACAGCATCCAGGCCCAGAGTTCAGGCCCCACAACTGGGACCCCCCCCCCCCCCAAAAAAGTCTCACAGACTTTGCTTGCCTGGGCTGGCTTTGAACCGTGATCCTCAGATCTGCCTCCTGAGTAGCTAGGATTACAGGTGTGAGCCACCAGTGGCGCCCAGCTGAGCCACTGCCTTTTTGGGAGGTGATTATCTGGAGACAGGAGTCTCTTGAACTTTCCTGCCTGGAATGGCTTGGATCCATGATCCTCAGATCTTAGTCTCCTGAGTAACTAGCATTATAAGCATGAATCACTGGTGCCTGCCTTTTTTCTTTTTTTTAATACTAAGAAATAGCCATTATTTGGTGCAGGGGGGGGGGGGGGGAGGGAGAATGGGGGGGGAGGTTGGGAAGGGATGGGAAGGGTAAACAAAGGAGGAGGCTGCAATGCTTGATAAGAAATGTACGCATTATCCTGCCCATGTAATTGTAACCCCTCTGTACAGTATGTTCACAAAAAAATTAAATTAAAAAAAATAGCCATCAATCAAACTTTTAATTTATTAATGTAAATAAAAACTTGATTAGTCTAAATCAGGAAATAAGATTTACATATTATAATTTTCCAATTATTGCCCTTTAAGTTTTAACATAAAATTTTCTTTTCTATTTCTTTTTCTTCTTGCAATTCACTTGTGCAAAAAACCTTGTTCATTTTGAAGGTCTTTTTTTTTTCAGCCACATATTTCTCAGTTCAAAATTTTAGATTAAATTTATTTTATTAAGCTAAAATTTGATTTAATAAAAAAGCTCTATTATTGACTTTAAAACTAGTTAATCATAGAGGGCTGGGAAGGTGGCTCAGTGGTAGAGCGCTTGCCTTGCATGCCTGAGGCCCTGGGTTCGATTCCTCAGCACCACATAAGCAAAAAGAAAAAAGCCAGAAGTGGCGCTGTGGCTCACGTAGTAGAGCGCCAGCCTTGAGCTGAAGAGCTGAGGGACAACGCCCTGGCCCAGAGTTCAGGCCCCATGACTGGACCAAAAAAAAAAACCAAACTAGTTAATCATAGAGATTCTAAAACAAAACCAAACTAGTTAATCATAGAGATTCTAAAACACTTTAGATGATTTTTAAAAGGACATTTATATTTCATTTTTGAATTAACAAGTATAGAAACTAGGGAGTGTTGTGGTTCAAGGCTAGCCCAGGGCCAAAGTTCTAGAGACCCAGCCTCAAGCTCAACCAATATTGTAGCATAGTGCATGTACTTATCATCACTGCTATGTGAAGAAGCATAAAAGGAGGATCCCAGATTAGGTTAGCCCAGAATTGAACTTCAGATCCTATCTCCAAAATTAACAAAAGCAAAAAGAGTACAGCAGTGTATCTTCAGTGGTACAACATCTGCCTGGCAAATATAAGGCTCTGAGTTCAAACCTCAGTGTCACAAAAAAAAATTTTTTTATTTATACTTAAAATTTTGGTATTTCTAGAAAACAGGGTTTTTAGTTTCTTCAAAGATAATTTTATATAAAAATAAATAATTTTATTCTTATATATTTAAAAACCTATAATTAGATAGTGTTGCAAATTTACATAAATTATAGTTGAAGCTTAAGGAAGGCAGTTAGAAATTAGTGTTTTACTTGACATCTTTTGGACTCCGACCCTTATCTGAACAACACATATCCTGTCTTGGAGGAAAACAGAACACACTGAATGACAGCGTCCATTAGACACAGCTATTTTACACTTCAAATCCATCTTCTGTAATTAGAGGTTATCTAGAATAAAGTGACAGCCACACATTTTAAACCTTGAGAGAGAAGAATGAAGCTTTCTTATTTCATATTTGATGAGGCATTTTGTAGAAAAGTCATATAAAACAAGGTTAGACATTTACACTATGGCATTTGACTGTTAGCGTCAATGGTACAGTATTTTAAATTCTGCCTGGAATTCTTTTATGCCTGTTGTTTTGTGTCCTTTGTATTCATAAGATGTTTATCAGAGACCTGCAAAACTAGAACTCTGACCAGCAGAAATGAACCAGTAATCTGAAAAATAATGTAAATGAGCAAGCAAGAAAAACATTAGCAGCATTTTTAGCTTCAAATTTATTGCATGAGTCCCATTTAAAAGAGCTGGGGTTTCTTAGTCAGGTGCCAGTGACTCATGCTTGCATATCCTGGCTACTCAGGAGGCTGAGCTCTCTGGACTGTGGTTCAAAGCCAGACTGGGCAGGAAAGTCTGTAAGATTCTTATCCCAAATCAAGCACCAAAAAAGTCAGAAGCAGAGCTGTGGCTCAAGTGGTAGAGTGCTAGCTTTGAGCAAAAAAGCTCAGGGACCAGCATTCAGGCCCTGAGTTCAAGTCCTAGGACCAGTAAAAAAGAAAGCTGGGCAAGAGGGTCAGGTGGTAAATTCAAGCACTAATACTGGCACGCGCGCGCACACACGCGCGCGCGCGCACACACACACACACGCACATGCACACACACACACACACACACACACACACACACACACACACACACACACACACAGAGATGTAACATTTCCCTCTTTTATTTTTTTCATCTAAAACCAGGACGTGAACTCAGTATCTGATATTTTAACTCAAGATGGCTCTACCACCTGGGCCATACTTTCAACCCCTGACTTAACATTTCTAATATAATTTAACATAGCTGGAGTTGGTTTCTCTATAATCCCATTATTATTTGAGGAAGAAAAGTACAGAAGATATACCTATTATGTAATAAGATGACATTAGTAAAGACTCAAAATAATCCCAAAATACCACTGATTCTTTAAAAGATGTCAAATGCAAAGAAAGTAAGCAGAATTTATCTAATTAAAACATGAACTAAAGTTGCATCTTTAAATGATGGTCACTACCAAATAGTATCTCAGGACATTTCTCAACAACTTTAAGAATTGGACAAAGTTTCATTGTGTTAGCTGCTTTATAAGATTTTAACCCCCATAGTGGATTATAAAATGGTTAATATGATTAAGAATTTTAATCACCCACTCACAGAACATTTACTCAGTTTCTACTATGCCAAGGACTCAAAAATAAAGAAACCAGAACTCACCTCTAGTATAGTCAGTAAGACAGAGACTACATTGTCACTAATTTTTAATAGAGATGTAACATAATATACACAAATCTTTTTTTTTTTTTGGGGGGGGGGGTCTGGTCGTGGGGCCTGTACTCTGGGCCTGGGCAC